GGGTGCCTTTAAGGCAAATCAATTCTCGCAGGTATTGCACTTAGCAAGAATCTATGAATTTTTCTCCCTCCTGCACGCCTACATTTGCTTGCTGTAAGCAAACATGTGATAGACTTTCAGAACGGCCAGCCTATAGGGCGAGCGTTTCATTTATCAAAAATAAAAATTATTCTTATTAGCTAAACCATTAGATGACTTCCTTCCGCTGCTAATTTTTCCTTATCAAGCTTCAGCTTTATTAGACGCTCGTGTTTCTTCTCTGCGAAGTATAGCACTAGAGCACAACAGTTTTCTTAGAACTCTACATTCTGCCATGTTTACTTGTCAGGCACTTGTTGCAAATGTCATAACGGACACTCCATCTACAAACTGTGAACACAAATAAGTTTAATGCGATTCGCAATTGTATTTCGCATATTTCGTATTGCAGCCGCTCGATGCAATTAACGCGGAATGTTAGTAACTTTTCTTTTTTAGACAGACAAACTAAATTGCAAATGTGTTCAGAAGTCGTATTTTAACATACGAGGAGCCAGGTGCCGCTTTTTCCTCTGTGTGTGCTATATGCTCTTGATTACCTTCTGGTAGATACCCTTACAAACAATTGAAAGGCACCCTTAAATGTTTAATGGATGATACAACATTTATTATATTTGTGCGTTTTTTGAAATTTGGCTGATTTTTCTAAAATTCCCTGAAAATTATCGACCCACTTCTAAACATTGCTTAACAAAAACTCACTTTTATATAATATTATGTCTTCACAAAATCGTGACTAATGTTAAAACATCAAAAATGGTTCAGTCGTGGTTTTATAAATAAATGAAAATAAGAATATTTTGCCGTAGAAGTCCAACTTCTACTTACATGATCTCTTCACAAAAACTACATACATGACAGACCGCACTACAGCTTGATTGATCACCTTATGCCTTTACACATCTTTCAGCTATGGCATGGTGAAAGGTGACAATGTATTTTCTTGTTATAGTCGTTTTGCTTTTATATCCATTTCACTATTCCGAAGGAAAAATCATAAGAAAATGCTTAGAAGACAGGGTTGTTAAGTATTGCGAAACACACGGACGAAGATGCCTTATGAGTTGTGATAATGTCGTCGTGAATTGACTATATATCTTGCAATTGTACGAAGATGTTACAATTTTTGGATTATAACCATACCTGAAATGACTTAAAACAGAACCAAAAATAGAAAAAGTTACAGGGCTTTTAGTTAGCGAAGCCGGCAGAACACATTTCGCTTTTAATGTTGCGGAATTGCATAAGTTTGCATCTAATGTTTTGTTCTAAAAAATGGAGACTACTATAAACACAATGCATAGCATGACTAATGAGAAGTTTTTCTTACATCCGAAGACTGAACGGTAAACCAAATAGCGTGGACTATATATGAGAAGAAACTTTATCTGTTTTGTGGTTGGTATAGGAATAAACGATTGATTCTCTCTTCTCATCTAATGATATGAAATCGAGTAAATTCGTTTATATGTCATGGACGAAATTCCAATTCAAATTAATTATCTGCAGGAAAAACGATGCATATTTTTATCAGTTGTTTAAAAGGCTTCTTTGCTCATTTCCATTTATCATTAGCGATCCGAAGAGATTCTCTCACAAGTTTCATTTCACTTTAGATAAGCAGATAAGAACTTAAAAGGTAAACGATATCGTATGACTTCTCAGAGTTTTGAAAATGCCTCCTCTGCTTGCACTTCGTTCCCTGGCAGGAATACATAGAAAAATCTTTAATGTATTATTTTAGCAATTACGCTCAAGTGTTCCAGAATTAAAATATTTGCTTTAAAGAAAAGCATATGCAAAATGAAAGATCTCCTCACAAATAAATAATAAGTTTACTTAAAATGCAAAGCAAATATTATAAAAAAAAAAAAAAAGTACATAGGTATGGCAAGTAAAACAGCTAAATACACTTCGCAGAGAATTCCATTTATCTATATATATATATGTACAAATTGTGTAACTTTTGTTAAGGGGATATGTGTTAATCGAGACCTTTTTATATCTACTTTAGATTAATACGCCCAATTCGCACTCTCGCATATTGACGGAAATATATTGTAGACATGTAGATGTGTAGATTTCGAGGAAGTTTCAAATTTCTTGCAAATATGATACTTTTAAGGTTAAAAAACGAAGAGATCTCAAAGATCATCCTGAGTAAAATGATACGAAACAATGCGCTTTGTATTATTTCGGCAAATTATGAAAGCGGAATAGCATATTAGTGTAACTCGTACTCAGGACCACCAACACTTATTCGTTAAGTTTCACATTATTTCTATTTCGCTGAGCTGAAATTGCATTTTTTGAGATTTTATATATGATAACATATATGCATGGAATGTACACAAGGCACTTGAAAGGAGGAGGGGATTTTTTTTTTTGAAGATTTTTGCCTTATTGATGGATTCGCTAAGTGAGCTGAGCTAATTTATGCAAAAGAACAACTGCAATCCGTAAGTCTCTACATCGCTCAACTATGGCGTTAGGATCATACGGAAAAACAATATCGTTACTTATTGGAGTTTTGGTATTCCAGACCAATTAATAATCACAATAAATCTCTACAGGTATGACATTTGCTGCAAACTAAAGTTGTTAAGTCGCGAAAATTCGGCGAAAAAAATCAATGCTTATTATGTGAATCGTGACATCTTTGTGAGAATACGAATAATATTCGAGAGATAAAAGTCATTCCATTTTACAATATACTCGCGACTCGTTTTAAAGGGCCTTTCAAAGCCCCACTCAAAAATTCTTTGATATCAGTGGAGTAACAAAAAGCAGGCGGAAAATATTATTTCTGCTTCTCGCAAAATAATAATGAATTTTCTGTTGGAAGAGGTACCGACGCAAATTCAGCAAATGAAATACCGACGGTAGACATGTAAATAATTTCTGTTAACGACATATATGTTTTGAAATGAAGAAAAACTATTAATTTTCTGAATACTTTTTGGAAACATTTTCTGTTATTTTATTTTTATTTTTAGTTTTTCTTTTTTTCTTTTTTCAATTTTATTTTATTACCTTTAGTTGTAATGATTTTTTTGTGGATTGTTTTTTTTTTTTATTTTTTTCAATATTTAATAATTAATTATTTTTATTATAATTCTTTTTTTACTAATTTATTTATTATTGTTTCTGTTTTTCTTTCCGCTGTTGTTATTTAACAAGTTTGCACTTGTGTAATATATGCAAGTGTTCCTTTTTCGTCGTCATTTTTGTTTTGTCGTTTTTTTTTTTTTTTTAATTTTTATCAATAATAATAATAATAATAAACATTTGTGTGATTGATTGATTGATTGATTGGCTGCATATAAATTTACATAATTTGATAATAATTATGTTTGGGAAGTACATGCAGCGTAGGAGTCTCCTTAAACCTATTCATATACATACAACTTAACTAAACTTTCATTCATTTAAAAACTAATAAAAATTGAAAATTTAAAACTTTAAAAAAGATCCATTAAAATATTAAATAACCTGATTTTTTTTTTTTTTTTATAAGGTAGAGAAAAAGAACAAAACAAATGAGAAACTTTTATTCGACTGAAGACGAATCTTGGATACCCATCATCTCAGGCTAATATGTAAAATGGAGAAAAACGTGTTGAAAGCGTGTCAAGTGGCCGCACAAAATCGCTTTTGTATAGAAACTTTACCTCGACTACGTTTACAATATAGACAACAGTCTCAGGCCTTGCGGAGTATATTAATAAAACTAAGCGAGTCAAGCTCCAATTTTCTATTGCATTTTTAACGACTATGTCAAGCGATCAATCAGGATCGTTTTTAAAATAGACATTTTAGCTAACATATTTAAAACTTTCGTAACAAAATAAACGCACCGTACCTTATGGAATAAATCAATAAAAAAAATATGAGCCAAGCTTTAACTTTCTATTTCATTTTTACCGAATTTAAGGGTTTCGATAGTAAACGACAGACACATGGCAATATAGGGTACGAAGGAAAATGATAAGGAAGGAAAACGTAAGAAGGAAGCAATAGTAGAAGCGAAAGCTGCTTCAAACTGAGTCAAACTGTTTTTGTCGTTACACTGAGTTGCGTAGATGGAAGTTGAAGTTTTCTTATACAAATTTTTCAACTTTTTATGACACATAGATGTATATGGGGTATACGATGGATATATAGAAAATGAAAAGATGACGCGATAAGAGATTTCATTATTACACAAAGTAATAGTTAAAGCATACCCTTGTTCGGTTAGGTTTGAGTGTTTAGACCGGAACATTGAATAGAACAGTGAAGATTCCGCCATCTTCTTTGCAAGCCTACAGATAGACAGACAGACGCGTTATTACATTTACTTTTATAAATTCTATGGAATGCATATTGCTATCGTTCGCAAATCGAATGGCAAAATTGTTGTGCCCTTTCGTTGTGGCGGGTATGTAAATTAATTAAAATCCAATAATTATATTATTTAACAAACAAAATATATATATTTATACACATTTAGTTATGTATATACGGAATGGTTATTACGATGAAAATAATTCTGAAATATAATTAACATTCATATCACACATTTCACAATTTTTTCATAAACCAGTATGGTGAACACTTTTTCGCTTTTGTTTTATTTTTGGTTTTCCATTTATGGAATATGTACACGAAATTTAGGCAGAAGTATGCGTTTGCAAAGTTAACGAAGTCGCTTTGAAAACGCGAAACAGAACTTGAATAGACTGGTGCTAGGGATCTTCGGGAGAGAAGTGTTGCTGAAGTTGACGTTTCAATTATGATCATAACTTTTTTTTCTTTCCTTTTTTTTTTTTCTTTTTTTTGGTAAGTATTCAGTTATTATGTATGCGTGTATGTGTATTATATCGTATATCGAGTTTTGTTTTGTTTTGTTTGCTTTAAGACTAATACTAAAATTTTAATTTATTTAAATTTAAGATTTATTATTAGCTATTTAATAATTTTTACAGGGTGGAGATATCCAACAGTCCAGGTGTATCGTGTGCATGTTGATGGGGATGATGATGATGATGGTTATAATGAGAGTGATGAGAGGGATGCGTCGTATACGGTAAATGAGCGTGATGGAGTAAGGCTAGAGTTCCACCAGCCGTAGTCGCAACAGAAGAGGCATCAATCATACTAAAACTAGAGGGTCCAGTACTACCGACGCTATCAACACTACCCGCTGTTAAACGACCCATTATGGAGGGAGCACAGCTGTTGTTTTGATATGCAGCCAATTGCGCATGATGTAATGCCGGCGAATGCGAGGATATTGAGTGAGCTGAAGAACGACTTCCCCCATTGGAGGAACCTGAAGCTGTTGAACTGGAACGGCTACTGTGACCATTTATCGTATAATTTTGTAATCCCGATAATTGTTGACCATTTATACATTGACTATCGAGACTGGTTACATTTGGATTTGTTGTTGCCGTCGGTCCTGTAGAGGTAAGTTGGTCTTGCAGGTGCGTGCTTAGCAACTGTTGCGTTTCAGATGGTGGCTGCATATGGTGCTGTGTAAGCAGCGGAGACGATGTTTCAATTTGCTCCTCTAGTGGTAAATTCGTATGCTGTTGATTATGCAATTGTAATTGATGTTGAAGAACTGAGGGGGCAGGGGATGTAGATGTGGAGGGACCTAGCTCAACATGTGGAGTTACTTCTACTGCGTTAGAAGAAATCGTTTGCGATAATGTCGATTGTCCATAGGCATTTGCCATTTCTCACATATGGGCCAATGGAGCCATGCTACGCATCGATTGCTGATGGTGATGTTGCGCTTGGTGCTGTTGAAGATCGGGAGAACTAGTTTGATAGTGCATCAGGTTTCGTTGATGGTGTTCAGCGGCCGCGGCTGCAGCTGCGGCAGCCGATGCCTGCATGCCATCGGGCAGGTGATACATACTCATAAGATGATTGAGTTCTGCTGATGATTGCTGCGCGCTAACGTATTCTCGCTTCATAATGTGATTATTATTGTTATTATTGGCGATAACAGAAGAATTTGTAGAGTTATGCTGCCCCGCCGTAGAGGCAGATGTAGAACTATGTAGCGGGCTAGGTGATACGGGTTCCGACTTAACGCTGGAATCGCTAGGACTGTGGCTTTGGCAGGAAACTTGCGAGCCGGGTTGTCCCGACAAACCATACGGAGAGCCTGGCTGTTGCGGGGCATTGCTGCTCCCGTAAGGTGAACCGGGCTGTTGAATGTTACCATACGGTGACGTTTGCCCTCCGGAAACCGTGCCATACATACCATAACCACCACTAGCAGCGTTCATATAATTTAATGACCCAGCGGCGGCAGCAGCCTGATGCATTTGTCCCATATCATATCGGTGGTAGTTTCCCATATAGGCACTGTGTTGACTTTGATATGCGGCTGCCGATGGATCATGCATCATATACCCATTTGGCATATACCCATTTGGAGCGCTCATTGGATACATGTCGCGATTCACACCCGCCGCTTGTTGGGCTGCCGCTGAAATGGAATTTCCTGAAGTCGAGCGTGCTGCACTAGAATTTGGTTCTGGAGACTGCAATAGTCCTCCTACGCCTAGTGGATATTTTTCCTTTGTTTTAGTTAAAGTTTTTGTTTTGCGTCGAGGTCGGTATTTATAGTCCGGATGTTCCTTCATATGTACTGCTCTTAAGCGCTTCGCTTCATCAATGAATGGGCGTTTTTCAGCCTCTGAAAGATCTTTCCACTGAGCGCCAAGACGCTTTGAAATCTCAGAATTGTGCATTTTCGGATTGTCGGAAGCCATTTTTCGCCTCTGACCCCTCGACCACACCATAAAAGCATTCATGGGTCGCTTGACACGTTCTGCATTCTGCGCATTCTTGTTCGCCGCCGAAGAATTATTATTATTTAAACTGCCGCCGTTACCTGAACTGCCACCCGAGCTCAAAGGTGTACTTTGACCACCTATGCCACCTGAATGATGATGGGAGCCGTGATGATGACTTTGACCAGGCGAGGTCATATGATGACTGCCAATGCTAGTATGTGAAGACTGAGTAGGACTTAAATCACTAGAGCTGTGAAGCGGTGAACCGTGCTGCTGCACTCCACTTGCTGTACCATTCAGTGTGTTGGCCATGCTATTTTGCAAAGAACTTAACGCACTGCTAGAACCATTAGCAATGGAGGGACTTTGACTGCTTGCCAAATGTGAGGCCATATGATGATGCTGGTGATGAGGAAAAGGAGGCTGGGCCAAATGTGACTGACCTAAGTTCATGAGAGGTCCTAAAGCACTGTAAGGCGAGGCAGCATGTCCATGTAAGGCTGCTGAGGTGTGATGCGGAGGCATGGTTGCATGTAAAATGCCCCCTTTCATATCGGATTCCATGGTAAGCATAACGAATAAATTGAAATTTCCAATAAATGTTTGGCACTTTGTGTTTTTCTGATTATTTTTTATTTCTTCTTCTTCTTCTTATTCTTTCTTTTTAACTTAAATTTCTCTTTATTAATAGTAATTTATAGTAATTTGCGGAAATATATGTTGAGTTAAATATTCCTTTGCATGTTTAAGTTAATTTCCTGTGATTTGAACATTTTTGAGAAACCTGTTGTTTTTTTTTTGTTGTTGTTGCTGTTGTCATTCTTTGTTTTTTCTTTTTCTTTTTCTTTTCCTTTAACTTTCTTTATTAACACATTTAACAGATCTTATTGATTTGCTTGTACACATATACTTGCATTCAAAACGAATTTGCAAATTGTAATATTATTATTATTACTTGACGCGGCGGTATTTTGTTTTGTTTTTATTTTCCCGTTTTCGTTGTTCTATTGTAAGCACGATTAATTGTTATGCTCCATGACAATAAACTAAGATTCTTTTAAAATTTTACGATGGTAAACATAATGACGATGATGATATACTTGTTTTGATTTATTTTTTTGTTAATATCAGCACTAAACAATTGCATTATTTAGATGGGAAGCGACGCGCCGACAAACAACATCAATCGCCGAAATACAAAACGCAAATGATCTTTTCAAAAACGTGATTTTCGGTAAATCCCATAAAAGAAAACTCTGCAGTCTATGTATGCTTGATGCAGTAAACGATACGCTACGCAACTAGAACAACACATGAACGTAGATTTTGCTTTAATGGATGTCCGTACGTGTGCGTGAGTGAGTTGCTGTGTCAAACCAAAAAAAAATTTGTTGCGTTAACGTCAGATGACTGTGCGACGGTCGGGCTGACGATTATAATACAACCGATACGCGTTATAAGAGTCAACGTTAGTGTTTGGGTTTGTGTGTGTGCGTGCGTATACGTATATATTGCCAAATAAATTAATATTCTACTTTTGAGAGTAGGTTTACAGTAAACTTAAGCGATTTAAATTTAAAATTTAACAATACGACACGAAAAGGACGCGCAAATACCTCTACACTGATTGAGCACCGTCAACACAATCGTCAAGTTCGAAACCTGTTCGAGGTGTCTCAGTTCGCAAACGCAATCTCTTTTCGGTATGTTACAGCACAAAAATTAATTGAAGCGAGACTTTTCACATTTTCGTACTGTTGCCGACATTAGTATCGTTATTAAATGAAGTAAGCTAAAGCGAGAACACTATAGGTACAATGAAAAAAGTTGCGAGCAACGTTACGCTTATGTATGTTGCTGTGTTCATAGGTTGTGTGTGAGTTGTGGTTGTCAGTGGTTGTAAGTTGATAAAAGCCTTAAGAAATAAATCACAAATCTTAACAATTTTATGCACAGCTATAGAAAAGAGGGTTGGATTTTGCGCATCTGGTTTTTTGGCCTCATGCTTAACTACAGCCAATCATCTTCCAGAGTGAGCAAAACATTATAGTATCTTTCTAGATGCCTGTCCTATTCTCTCCTTCATTAATATCGAAATGGAATGCTAACGTCGTGCTACAACCGGTACAGTTGATAGTAGATATAGAGAGTTAGAAAAATCGATTTACGGCTACTTTTCGAGTGTAATGATTTTGGTACTCCGACCGTTTACTTACATCCGAGTTCACACAAGCTTTACTATAATTTCTACGTTCATTTTTGCAAATATCTTTCCCTTGAAACTCGCATTATAGCAGGCAACGTTGCCGAATTTCTCCTATGAAACACTCTTAACAGAGAATTATAGATTATTTATTTTTTTGCCAGCTTTGGGAGGTTGAGTTGAGTTAGCCAACCATTCAGTCTACCAAATAGCAACCAGCCACTTTTTAAGGCAGGTTAGGTGGTTTATTACAACATTTTTCCCATCTCGCTCATATCATTGGACAAGCTGACACTGTGTATGTACTATGTTTCGCATATATATTGTGCATACACACATAACTGTGCTAAGGAATGTTGGTGTTGCCCGTTACAGACGACGTCACTACCACCATCAAGAACTGACTATAATATAGTAATATCAGTGTACGTATTCTTGAATATTAGGGCCGGTGTAGTGGAGCTTTAAACGCGCTTAAGTAACGAAAATCCACTTTTTAGTAAAAACGAAAAAATATATATATAAAAATAAAAAAAAAAAAAAAAAAAAAAAAAAAAAAAAAAAAACAAAAAAAAAAAATCCTTTTTTTTTTTTTTAATTTTTTTTTTTTTTTTTTTTTTTTTTTTTTTTTTTTTTTTTTTCGTGAGTAATAGGAATAAACTTTTCTTCGTTCTACTAAAGAGAAATTTTTAATATAAAAATTTAGAAGAGTACTTTACAATAGATTTGCACAACTATAGTACGTACATATGTATGGCAACGTAGGATTCTAAAGATCGCAGAGCTACCTTAATGTTTCAAAATTGGAAAATCAGGACTACTTGCCGCTGTTTGCAAACAATAGTCCAGTTTTTTAAGTGGGTGTTTTTCTTCTATGAAAATTGTTTGGTAAAGAGGTCATGACTTTAACGAAATGATTTGCGTTTTATTAAAAAACAAAGAAAAAACGAAACATGATTTAATTAATACAACAGCCATAGACGCAAACCGTTAACGTTGACTGTTTGTTGACGAAATAATTACTCAAAGTATTCGGACACATTACGCTGTTGTGTAAATCTGTCATAAATCTCTCAATACATGGCTCACTTTTCCACAAACTCAATATGAAAATTTAATTAATTGCGGATTGTTTATTTGCATTCGAGCACACAAATCTCGTAATATATCAGTTATATGCTTTCACCAAACGATATGTGCTGCGTTTGTCTTTCCGCATAATTCCAATACGCACTGAAACATGCATTAAAAACCCGCCAAACGTATAAGTTTCATAAGCACCAAGTCACCACTTAGCCATGCCTGTTCAACACGATCTTTCTCGGTTCGTAGGTCAGCGTCTATTTGGACATACAAAAAGTGAAAAAGGAATATAAACATAACGTAATGACAGCTAGACTTGAAATACGAAAACGTAGCTGATTTTTTTATAATTGACTGGCTATTGATGCTTTTACAGCTCACAATGTATGTGACAAGTTTTGTGAGTTGCATTGAACTCCTTAGGAGTTGGATGGGTAATCCCCGACCACTAGGCCCGCTCGTCCTTTCCAACGAGGAAAATTCATGTCTAAAGTTGGAACTGATAATATAAGATTTTAGTTTACGGCCACAAATCGACTTTGAAAGTGCACGTGATCCGTCTTAAGTTGTAGGTTATGGTTAAAAGTTGAAAAGAAGAATAAATCAAAAAAAAAGGAACAAAAATTACTAAATGGTATCAAAAGTAGTATATATTTAATAATGCATATATGATATTATATAACGAACGGAAAATGGTAGACATAAGCTTGGAACACTTATATGAAGGGGCATGTGCGACGTGAACGTTGTGAGGAGATTATACCGATCGATCACAAAAATGCAATAGGCTCAAGGTGGTACAAAAACCCTTTATAAAAAGCTCAGTAAATTTTCTATCGGGTGCTTCGTTCTTCGGCAGTGGAAGTAAAGGAAAACGTGTGCGGAACGGAAGAAATTAAATAAAGGCGAAAAAAATGACATCTTAAAATGAAAGATCTGTAGTCATCAAAACAATTATAGCTGAGTTGAAAGTGAACGGTCGCCTATTGACAACGATCACAAAAGATGTCCTAAAAGCCATGAATTTCTTCAATTCAAAGCGACTACGCCCATGATCAGAGAGATGACATTGACACTTTGAACCTATAGTAAAGAATAATGACCAAATCTGAGTAAAGTCACAAACTTGTTTGAGGTAATAAGAAACTTGAGATAGACTTGGAAGTACGTAAATCTTACCAATTGTTTTCAGCAAAAATTAAACTACGTTAAAAAGTTGAATCGAATATCGGTTAGAAGGTCGGAAGGCGCAAAGTAATTGTAGCCGCTACACACTAAAACAGAAATATTTAATCCTTTCCGCTCCTTAACTATGTCGCTCCGAGGAAGCAAACTCTCACCATTTTCACATACATAAAATAATATCAAGACAGGCGAAAGTTGTTCGCAGAAAAGGAGAGATATATCTCTAGAAAGTGATATGTTTTTCTTAGAAGCAAAAATGCGTTCAGTTCTTTTGGTTTTTCCCGAAATCCTGCTAGAATAGATAAAATAGATGCATTTTTTCTTTTTCTTCATTGTGGTCTCTAGTCCAAATATTGGATTTTGAATAATAAGAAGATTTTGCTGCCTATCGTTGTGAACGTCCCGTTGCAAGCGACTACGTCCGACCTACTTAAGTTAATGGCAGTTCGACATTCACTCTGAATTGATTTTGAGTTCAACTGGGTAAGAATAAGGAGGCTTATCCCCAACCAAACCAGATTTTTTAACACATACGCATATTAGCTTCCATCTAACGTAACTTACTGTCCAGTGAATAGGAGAACAATTTTTGGAGAATACTTGAAGATATGTATATGATTTTTCAAAGAAATGTAACGCGTTACGTACAATTTTCGTGACATGGAAAATGCACTCCTTCGTTGGTACAAATGCTGATACAATTTTGTTTTGCCCATGTCGTTGATACTCCATAATGGAAACTCAATACAAACAAACCGTTAAATCTGGATAATAACAAGCCAACGAAAACCAACTTTACACTGACTGAGCGTATGCACAATGAGGAACGAATGATTATTGCATGCATGTGAAGATGCGAGTATGTATATTTCTGTTTTCCTGCGTGTGTGTGTGTTTGTGTGTGTGTGTGTGTGTAAGCGACTGTGTCTATGTCAGTGTCTGTGCGTGAGTGAATCATTGAATGAATGAATGAGTTAGTGAGTGAACGTTTGAATGAAAGAATGAATTGTTGGCGAATGAATGAACAACAATAACAACAACAGGCAAACAAACGAAGTTGTACAAAATCCTCGATTGAAAAGAAACAAAGTCAAGGTCACTGCAAAGAGTTTAATTGTTCGTTGGCACAACAATACCCGCACAGTACACAAAACGCAATACAAATACTTGCAAAATAAAAGAAAAAAAATGTTTTTTATATAAATATATAAATATCTATATATATGTATATATACATATATATATGTATGTATATACGTGTATAAATATATATATATATATATATATATAACAATAATAATAGCAACAAAAACACCAACATCATGAACAACACAGTATAGAATGATATAAAAAAAAATAAAACCAAATTCAAACACAAAAATACAACTCTGAACAAAAAAAAAATAAAAAAGAAAAACGAAACAAGTGAATAAGTAGCAAAACTGAATAAAAGACTCGTCTCAATGGCATCTACCAGAAACATTGGCTTGCATTATAATATGCATGACTATATATATGTGTATATATGTATATATATATATATATATTTGTGTACTCAGACTTATGTACATATATACACCGATATATGTGTAAGTAAAACCAAGCAAAACAAAAGCGTTTTTCACAATTTTGTTTTCATAACACTTGCGCCTCTTTCAAAATACCAACAAACTATGATGACGATGATGATGATGATGATGATGATGACGATGATATTGCAGGGCAGGGCAGAGCAGGGCAGACTGGCAGGCAGGCAGGCAGGCATGTAAAGCGTAATATGTACACATTAAACATTGCGATTGTGTGTAGACTTAGACGCCGCTCTAAAACCAGAACAAAGCCAAAAGTTGAATGAAAAATAAATGTTTGTCTTTTTGTCAACGCAATTGTAAAGAAACTAAAGAGAAACATTTACGAAATATGAAAAAGAAAATTAGACGAATAACGAATATGCAATAAAGAATCAAATCAAGATAATAATCATTGAATGTAGACAGTCCTACTCGCAACTATCCATGAAATTAGTATTAATTTACCACTTACAGCGAACCGCATTATCATCTGCATTGCTCTCTCTCTCTCTCTCTCTCTCTCTCTAAGCGAATTGACTTAATTTATCATGATCTCGGGCACAAATAGTTCGAGAAACTTGGCGATTTTTTAAACGCACTTGAAAGTTTCCATTAATAACAACAACTGTTTGGGTATTGTTTTCATCATTCTACGCGTAAAGCTG